ACATTATACTATAACGTTTGGCAAATTTGCTTTGGAAACAACCTATATTAGTTGATATCTTAATTTTCGCAATTTTAATTACTGATGCTACTACACTCGCTTAAAACAGAAACAAAATTTAACAAAAAATACAGCAAACACTACTTTAACACTTTATTTAATATTTAAATGCTTTATGCCGATTAAAAATTTATTCACACATTTTCATAGATGATAATCTACCTTGAGGATCAGATTTTTACCGTTTTAATTTTTTGTCATTTCAGATACCAAAAGACAGAATCTGTACTCAAGTCCACAGCTGAGAAAACGACGAGTATTTTAGGTGGCTTTGGTAGTGGCATTACTATGAAACTGGGCCAGATGCGTAATTCCGACAGTTTCCGGTCGCTGGAGGAAAGAGTTGGATCTGCCTGCGAGAATATCAAGGTAATTAATACTAAATTAGATTAATATTACTAAATATCTATTAATTAGTCTTTCAAATTAACTATTTTCTAACTAATTTTTTAGATTTTAAACGCGTGCGTCAAATTTTCAATTTTTTATGCCACAAATTAATAAATAAACGAATCAAATAAAATAGTTTAAATATTTTATTATATGTTGAATTTATGTTCTTTGGAATTACTAATTTATAAAATTTTAACATATTAAAATTTCTTTGATGTTTTTATTCAAGGATTATTTTCTTCTTTTCGCAGACGAAAGTCGTGCCTTCAAGGTCCGGCTCGACGCAGAGCTTCGATGAAGCACTCCGAGAGTCCGAGGCAATGAGACGCGCGTCCGCAGCTCCGTCAGCTACCAGCCCGACCATTCCTGAGGATAAAATGCTCTCTTAGAGCTCGAAATCCGCGCATTTCCTCCGCGCGATACAAAATGCTGATACCGCGCTATATTATTACTGCGTTCGTCTATTGCAATTGCTTTAGCGGGCCAAATGGCGTATTTGTGCACGTCGGATTCGATTTCAGTCATTCGATACTTCGCTCAATCGAGACTTCGGCCGCGAGCACAATCGTCCAAGTACTATCCTATTCTTTATTCAATAAAAAAATATATTTTTCTTGCACGCCATTTCCACGCCTTTCTCCTCGCAGGATCGCCTTTCTTCGAGCCACTATCAGGACATCCTTTACGCAAAGTGTCCCCCATGTGATTTTTATATTTGATACTAAAAAACGGCTACTCAAGACGATCTGTGTGTTTTCCAATGAAATGCCTTTTGGAATTTTTTTTTTATAATTGTGATTTGTAGGTATAATAAAATATACTTGGGCTCGAGAGCTGCTTATTTATGTGTGCCGCGAGAGGAACTTAATTTTGCAATAGAAAATTAATAATAAAAAGAAATTATGACACGGTTCTATTATAATTTTCATTGCACAATATGCAGTTGTTAATAATTTTCTTTCTTTCAGTGTATTAGAACAATTATATTTAATTATATTAAATCAATTTAAGTTTACGCCAATAATCGTACTTATTTCTTCAAATGTTCATAATTTTTGACACTCGGAGTTTCATTGCACATATTACCGGTGTCCTGAATCAACCTGATAGAGCTGCCAAAAGCAAATCTTTAACGATTTATAAAGAATGACCCGTCCACTGACAATATTTTACACTGTATACTGAACTTTTCACCTACTATGCAAATTTAATTAATGCGAGTCATTCAATCTGCCAAAAGGCAAATCTAATCAGAATTAAGAATCACATCACTAGATTTATTTTTTCTATTATATATCTAACGGTACAGAAAATTGAAGCAACAGAAAGATTATTATATAAAGAATCATATGAATAAAGCTTGTTACAAAATAATAAAATTACATCGCGATAATGTAAATGAAGAACGGTTTTCCATGCATTGCGAATGATTTTATCGGCGATTACGCAGAATGAGTCAACGAAAGCAGAATACATATCTTTAAAATGAGAATTCTTTTTTATTAGAGATATTTAACAATTCTACTTTCTGCTCATTCTGTATATTAGACTGAGAGAAAATTCTTGGTGATTCTCGATATATTTCACAAATGGATACTTTTTAAGTGCGCGAATAATCTAAAAGGATTCGCAAATAAACGGAATTAAGAGATATTTTGTATTCTAGCTTTACGGATAGATTATCGACGAAGCATGGTACATGTATTATTGTAAACATTAATACGCATAATAATTCACACGAATCTGTGGAAGTCTCGTGAGTTGCGACAACAATGATTGATTAATAATAATAATAAGCCGTGGTTCGTCGATAATATCTATTGCATAACTCCTTGTTCATATTAATAAATAAATTATTTTACGAAATACTAAAAGCCACAAATATCTTACCTACCGCGCACCAAAAAGATTTCTTAACAATTCAAACGAATTAAAAATATTACGATAATAAATAAGGAAAGGAAAAGTTAGATCTTGATGTCCAATGATGTATTTGAAATTTACGTTTAAAATTATTAGGCATCAAGATTTAGCTCTGCTATGTGTTGGCCTTATCTTGATTTATTTAAATTTAAAGTTTTATATATTGTAAGCCTCAAACTTTCAAATATTCAGTTTCAAATACGCGGTTTTTTTAATAACTTGGTAACGTTATAAGTTACATTGAAAAAAAAAAATTAAATTTTACTAAATATTTGAATATTTTTAAATAAATATTTACTAAATGTAAACATATATGTGCAATAACTATTAACTCAGTTTATCGTATTTTTTACTAATTTTACTAAGTAAATATTTATTTATTGTAAGTAAATGTTTACTGTTGAGAGAAATATATGTTAAGATTCAGTAAATAAGTCTTTTCCAGTGTAAATATTTTGCAAATTAACAAATTATTGCTGTTAATTTATTTTTCAGTTATATTGCTGGCATTCCATGATTCAAGTTGATTGTTAAAATATCAAAATTTTTTGCAGCATCGAGCACACAGACTTCTATGATTCCGCATCATGCTTGACTTTCCGATATAATTATTTTAATAATCCAGCAAAATTATTTTCTATTAGATTTGTTTCTAGCTTTAGATATTTCAGCGAGACCATTCTTTTCAAATGTATAATTTCAAATTTTAGTTCCAGATTAGATAATCGATGCGGTGGGCCACTGAGTTTTTCGATATCTCGAAAATCGCTTCGCGCTGCAACCAACTTCAGTGGCGGTATGACGCATCGCGCGATGGATCGCGGTTCTAATCGCTCCGCGTTTCTTGGGATCATCACCATTTAGATATAATTCTTACGCGAAAAGTTGTCGCTTAGGTTGTCTCTCGTGAAGTACTTATTAGATTAACGCAATTTACGAAATATTACGTACGCGAATTTCGTTTTTTCGGAAATGCCTTGCTTCTTTCGAAATCAGTGGAATTTTCTGTTTCGTGAGTTTCAAAGCTTTTCTTCCGGAGAAGTGCAACAACATAAGCTCGGCTAATAGCGTGATTAACCAGATAAGTACATTGTTCTGTAATAGTTGGGTCTGTGAGAAATTCAATATTTCGATCATTTTCGTGTTTTCCGTTAAACAATTGCCGAAATCATCGGCAATTGTTTCGCGTTTGAATCTGCCGCCACTAGGTGGCGCCAACCACCAGCGGTCCGCCATTACGCGAAATGGTGGTTGGCGGTCGTTGCGTTTCTCCCGTTTTACGGTCGTCGAAGAGAACGATTACATTACGAATCATGTTCGGAGGTACTCGGGAGTTCAAAATTGGATTGTTAATTAATCAACGTGTGCGACATGTAACAGCCATTTCTTCGAGTCGTATCCTGAGAAGAACGGACTTCGGAGAGGGGCGATAATGGACAATCCATTCCAGGAGAACACGGACCAGTTCAGGAAATCTCGGCGATGATGCAGTTGATACAGTTCAGTGAGTCAATTTGGTTATTATGCTAATTATTGATATAATCGTTTATTGCACGAGAGATAATGGTGGAATTGCATCTCTCAGTTTGATTGTTATCTATCGACTTAAATCAATGATAAAATTATACAGCGAAATCACAAAATACTCTAAAAGTACTCTTGAGATCTTAGAGAATATCTGATGGATTCTGGTGAATTTTATCAGAATTTTTAGAATTTTGGAGTAATTTATAACTTTTTGGAAAATTTATCATTTTGTATGCAAATTTTTAGAAGCATTTTTTAGAAGTGTTGAAAAAATTTATCTTTTCTAGAATTCTTCATACAAATATATGAATTCTGAAATGTTAAGATTTCTTGTTTAATAATTTCTGATGAAATCTTAATATATAAAGTCTGAAAAAGTTCAAGATATTTTTTCAGAAATTATAGACTGAGAAGTCTTAGAATATTTCAGAATTCACATATATGAACAATTCTAAGATGTAGACTTCCTCAGTATTTCTGAAGTGTTCTAATTTGTATAAAAATTCTAAGAAAAATTTTATTCAGAAAATTTCTTGTTAAATTAAAATTTATGTATTATATTTGTTTAATTTCTCAAATTTTTTATTTAGAGCATTTTTTAGAAATGCCAGGAAAGTTTACATTTTCTTAAAATTCTTCATATATGTCAATTCCAAAATATACTAAGATTTCTCATTCTATAATTTCTGATAAAATCTATAAAAAGTTTAAAGTAAATCTTAGAATATTTCAGAATTCACATATATATGAACAATTCTAAGATGTAGACTTCCTCAGTATTTCTGAAGTGTTCTAATTTGTATAAAAATTCTAAGAAAAATTTTATTCAGAAAATTTCTTGTTAAATTAAAATTTATGTATTATATTTGTTTAATTTCTCAAATTTTTTATTTAGAGCATTTTTTAGAAATGCCAGAAAAGTTTACATTTTCTTCTTAGAATTCTTCATATATGTCAATTCCAAAATATACTAAGATTTCTTATTCTATAATTTCTGATAAAATCTAATTATAAAATCTAAAAAAAGTTTAAAGTAAATCTTAGAATATTTCAGAATTCACATATATATATGAACAATTCTAAGATGTAGATTTTCTCAGTATTTCTGAAATGTTTTAATTCGTGTACAAATTCTGAGAAAAATTTTCATTAGAATCTTATTCCTTAATAAATCGAAATTTATGTATTATATCTAAAGCCATTATTTAATCTATTTAATTGTTCACTCGTTTGTTCATAAAAATTTATTATAAGAAAACATTTTCACTAAAGATGATTTCGTCTTTTGTTCTAAAAATTTAATCAGTTATTTGCCCATGAAAAGTTAGTAATAAACTATAAGTGCTTTATAAATATTGTATTCTTTGTTTCTTGATTATTTAAGAAAGAAAAGCTAAAGGCATTTTGAATGCAATCGATTAACATTCAAGCGTCTCTCTCTGTCTCTTGTTTTTTTGTTTTTTTTTTTTTTTTTATAAAAAAGCATATAAACCTTTATTAAAACTAAGTACAAAAATAATAGGTACATTTCTTCGTCTTCGCGTCTAAATCTCTAAATTGCTATGCCGGCTGGTCCGCCATTCAAAACTATTTCAACCATTGTACACTCGTGAACAACAGCGAAGAATATCCTGTCAAAGAACAATACAGAGTGTTTTTTTTTCCTTATGTAGGGTGTTCAGAATTTTTTCGCCATTTCTCTAAAATGTTAAAAGATAAACTAACAAGAATAGAGAGCGATTATATACCAAAGTCGGGTCATTAATTAATTCATAATTAATCCATAAGTTAGAGAAACGAACGATCCGTGCCTCGAATCACCTGCAATTCCACGCGCGATTATACACAGTGTCCCATAATTATCGGCGCCACTTTTCATTCGTTCGACTCTCCAACGACTCCAGAGAGTTTTTGCGCGGTAGTAGTTTTATTAAAATGTCATTTTCTTTAATATCTATATTACTTAAATATTCTCATTGACACGATAAGTTAGACGAAGATTTCGTTCACTGTACACATATTGCACTCAGCAATTTACTGTCGATATAAATCGTGTAGATCGTCCCATAGATCGATGATTGCTGGAATTAGAAGAGAAACTTGAACAATCGTGTTATATATTGCTAAACTATAAAACACAACGGGTGGGGCCTTATATAAAGTTTCAAAACGAGCCTTATATGTGGGTATTTAAAAAGAAAGAAACTGGGGAAGGAAAGAGAGCGATACAACTGTGAAAAGATATCGACATAACGCACGTTAAGTACGTTGCTAATGTGTATACATATACATATATATATAAAACCATTTATATTTTGCATATCTTTACGTATAGAGAGAAACATATAATATATATATATATATATATATATTACG